GATAGAACCCAAATTGTGTGAATTTTGTTAGGTGTTTGTTTTTACAAAGAGAGAAAGAAAGTATATTGTGCATGCAAACAACTTCCTGAATTATAATGAATACAGTTCATTATATTTTACAAGAAATGACAGTAAGGACAAGTATAGCAGGGCTGCCCATCCACATAAGATGAAATAGAAGATACTACTTTCTATCCAACCAGATTGTTCTATGTTATTCCCTTAACTTCTAAGAGGTTTTAGTGTTTTGTGGACCTGTTTTGAGAGTTTGGCTGCATTGCAACAATTCCCCAAAGTAGCAAATTTCCACTTATTTGGGGGCTAGTTAAATATACTTGTGTTTGAGGATGTTATCACATAGAAGTGACTGAGTATCAGATAGTTTCTAGCAAATGCATACTAGTATGGATTGAATGTTCATAGAAATATTAAAAATGTTTCTTTCTATAGTTAAATTATAGTTCAGTACAGAAGTGGTATTCAGCAGGTTCTGACCAGTTCTGGAGAACTGGTAGCGGAAATTTTGAGTAGTTCAGAGAACCGGCCAGTCAAATACCACCTTTGACTGGAGATTTTACAGTATCCTTACCCTGCCATGCCCACTAAGCCATGCCCACAAAACTGGAAGTAAAAAATTTTTGAATCCCACCACTGGTTCAGTAGCTCTCTACATAACATTTTCTTATTGTTCAAAATTAACTAAATCTGTGTGTTATTCTTTAATATCCAGTTTAAACATTTCTTTCAAAATTCCTATTTTTATTTATATATTTTATAATTTCTAGCCATTCCAATATAACCTGCCATTTTTTCATACCTTCTATTTTTATCTTTTCTTCTGCTCCTCACATATGCTTCAAAGTAATTCCCATGAAACAACAGCAATTTCTCGTTTTTTATTTTATTTTAGACACACATAAAAACATATGAGAGATTTCTCTTTTTCCCTTAGGTGCATTTAACTAAAGTAGTAAGGACCTTTTGCAAATTAAGAGTCACTAGGGTATTTTTAGTATGCTCTGTTATTTCTTTATTTTTTCACTTTATATTCAATGCTTCCCTTATTCTATTTTGAAATTAAGATTGGGGGTTTTACATTTTGACCAATCACTTCATTTTAGATAGCATAACTGAAATATATGAATAGTCAATCAAAAAATATATTTTTTATGATAAAAGCCAACATATGTAAGCAGGAACCTCTGATGCTATAGAAAGTTTAGGGGGGTCCTGCAGATATATTGATGGGGAAATGAATTTTTACAGTCAAGGGGTAAACACTCTAAGGCAGAGCTGTCAAACTCCCGGCCCACAGGCCAGATGCGTTATGCCAAGCCCATGCCTGGTTTAGGAAAGGGGGGAAATGTGATGCCACTGTGACAACATGAGTTTGACAGCCCTGTTCTAAGGATATGGGTTAGTTGTTTAAGCCAAGGGTTAATTTTTTTCCATTATTTTTCCAATCATGGCCCAAAATTTTATTCCTATTTTACAAGAGTATTTTCGTGTTTTAAATTCTGAAGGTTTATATGAATTCTGATCTGGTTCTATTCCTCAAGTTATTCCATTGGGATAAGAACATTCCAGGCCTTCAGGTTTACCATTTTCAAACTCTATGTGGCAAATCCATACATTTCAAGATTCAGCCATCCTCCTTTCATACCTTCAGACTCTTTAATCTTTCCCCATTATTCAATACAACCAACAAATCATTTTTCCTGGTCTTCTCTTTTCAATTTGTCTGCATCTGCAAGCCTGGCATGTCAAGTAAATAACTATATAGTTCAAATTAATTTTATGGACATCAGTTTCACTGAGCGATAATATTTGGCATCTTAGTCAATCTTATACTTTGCCAAAACATTCAATAGAAAGCTAAAGTTTATCCCTTGTTTTAATTTATTTCATTGAATTCTCAATTCTTAGGGGCTAAGTAATTTTTAAACATGATATCGCTATAGTGAAAACTTAAAATTACATGCAATATAAATTACTATATCTGTAAGTATTTTAAATATATGTTAATATAGCATTCAAATTGCAATTGAAAAATAAATATATATTTTTCATTTTGGGATTAAAAATAATTATCCAAGTTACTTTCAAAATATATTTTCAGAAAGTAAATTCAGTTTAAGAATTTTCAAGGATTTAGCAAAAGTAAAGAAGATATAAACATGCTGAAAACTGAAGAAATGATAGAAAAATTTATCACAATAGAAATATAGCTTCTATCTCGGTGCTTTTGTGGTAAATTCTGCTTAGGACTAATACAGAAACTAGACAAAAGAATCAAGTTATTTTATACACTATATAATGAAAAGAGCAGAAATGAGAGGTAGGAAAGATATAAAAATACTTAATATTTTTTAATCAGAGCATTACAACAGGCTTTAGTTATAATAGGATTATATACACCTTCAAATCCTGAGAGCAAAAGAAACCTAGGTAGTGCAATTATGCCACAAAAGCCATCACTGCTTATAAAGCGTTGTACTGCAGTTGTAAAAGAGGCTACAGTGACAAACGGCTTCCCTGCTACAAAGGTGGCAGGAAATCTATCAAACTGGACAATAAAATTGCAATTGAGTTTCTTTGGCTTTTTATAGCAGCTCCATGTATCTTGATGTGCAGCTCTGCAAAATCTATCCAATTTTGCAATACTAGTTCTTTCCACACAAGCTCTTTACCAAAAATAAAATTACACAATAGAGTATGAATAGACAGTGGCTAATGCATAAATGAAATAGAGCTGAAATATAAATTAAAGTTTACAAAAATTTTAAAATTACTGTGACTTCAGTTTAAGGAAATTTTGTTTTATGAATTTGAACATATTGAAACAGTAAAAAAAATGCTTACTTATTCAAGCTAACACCTCCAGAAAATTCAGAATTCAGTAATAATTATTAAGAAAGTTTTGAGGATTCTTGTCTTCAGAACACTTACAGAGAAATTTAATTAAAACAAGATATTTTATTACAACTTTTGAATGCTACTCTAGAAAAACCAAAGGATGAGAAACAATATGACAGTTTCAACAATTTATGTTGCAATAGCATTCAACAATGGGGTAGATAAATCTTAGTTCATGTAGGTGATATGTCACAGGGATAATTAAAGTGAATTAACCTGAATTCAACATCACATGCCACCTTACTTTTGCATTGTTAAGACAGAAATGTAAAACAGTGGCTGATCTAACCCAATTATTTAAAAAAACAAAACTGACTGGACTAGTGGCTGAGATACCATTTTTCGCTATTATAAATTGACTAGAATAATGAACTTGGCAATAAATGCCACACAAAAAAAGCTGTCTGATTCTTTTTGTCCTTAAAATGTTCCCACCATCACTTAGCCATCCCACTTTACACCTGACTGGGAGCAAGCCTGGGTGAAAGTGGCATGCAGAGACTGAGTCTCAAATGAGTATAAAAATACATAATAATAGTAATAAAAACCGTATTCTTAACAAAAGCTAATTTTTATAATTTTATTGGATAGATAAATTGTGATAAACTTAATATTAATTTTAATAATAATTTCCCATGTCAGAATACGAATATGTAGACTATAAAACTGATGTAATTCAGAAATGAAAAATGGTGTTTCTTATACCATGTATATGCCATGTATATACTACATGACACACCCATACACATGTGTATATATGTATGTTCTAATTGGCATCCATTCATGTAAGATCATTTTATGCCAAAACAGTGCAGTCCAAAATTTTAAGTCTAGAGTTATTAGCAATGTTAATATGTCTATGAATGTTAATGTTAATGTTAATATGTCTACAAATGTCTATGAACTCATAAGCAAATATTCACGATGGAACATTTGGTTTGAGATATATGGAAACCTAGAATCAATGTTAAATTGATGTCAAGTATCTAATACCAAACTGAGTTTAAAACTGAATAGTCGTATATTAATGGTGAAAAAATATATAAAAATTTATTATGAACAAAACAGCGAAAAAAGCGCACTAGAAAACAACTTCCCTATAAACTATACACAATTTAAGAGAATTATTAATGTTAATTTCAACTTCTACAATTCAAAATAAATTGCAAATTAAATATTAATCCAGAATCTTAATTATCAAACAGAATTCATAAACACCTTTTAAATGCAATCTATGTAAGTAAAATCATAATCTGGAAAGAGAGTATCTGTTGTTTCACTTTATAAATATAATGGTCTCATAAGACATTGACATCCACATAGCTGAAAGAACAATTTTTGTACCTGAATTGTGCTGTCAACAAACCAGGTGTCCCATAATTCATGGTGTAATAGGGGAAAAAAGTATCTTCATTTTTCTTACATTGTAAATTCCCATATGGAAATTCACTCAGAGTCGTATTAAAAATATTTGGGGAAATAGAAGAAGAAACCACCATGGCAGCCATTGCAACTTTATTCTAAAATCTGTTTCTCAGTTGAAAAAAGGTTACCCCCATTAGAGAAAAAATGTTTCCATCACAATTTTATTATAGTTGTAAAAAAAATTATATTATTAGCAGGAATATTGTTTTATTTATTATTAAAGGAGAAACCTTCTTCCACAACCTTTCCTCTCTTTGTTTGGAGGGAAACAGCTTTTGATTCAGTTTTATCAGTAATTTGTTGCTCAGCCCCTCGATGTAAGAAAAGGGCATCATTCTAACATAGAAATAGTCAAAGTCCGCCACCTTGTGTTTCAAATTTATATGGTTCAACTGCACAAGCAGTTCATAATAAAACAAAGTTTACTGAACATCAACTTAGCTGTCCTCATACCAAGCTGGTGCATGAAATTACACAAGCATTGCACTAAATATTTTTAATTGTTGCTTTATGGAATATTGATACCTTCCCTTATTTTGTGCTCTCTAGTTAATTTCAGTGAAACTTTTGTTTTTGCTAAACCCACCAAATTGCCCTTCAAAGTTCTTTAAAAATTTTGCTTAAAAAATCAGAATTAGAATTGTTTTTGCATAACTCACCTTTGAATGTGTAATTGCTAGGGTATCCACCCAAACACGCCAGCCACCCCATTCATACTTGATTGCATGATAAAGTAGTATTCGAAAAATGGCATACACCATTTCTGTTAGCTTCTGTTCATCAGAGCTTTGGGGATTAAAATAGCAAAGGGAAAGCATCCATTCCTGCCACACAGAGCACTGCAGTAAACTCCTAAAAAATTGCAAACACAAATCGAAAATTAACTTTGAAGAAAGCAGGAAAATACAACTCAAAGACAACTGAGATTTGTCTTGAACACCAACAGAAATTAATGAGATTAATAAACACTTGATATGGCCAATAATTGAATAAATCACATGAACAATTTGAGACCAGTTCTTAGTTTAAAAACAATTTTTAATCATGCAGCTTGAAAAAAACAGCTTTTTAAGCTATGTTATAATATATATATATATATATATATGTTATGATCTTACCTCCTATTCTCCCTGCTGCTATTAAAAAGCTTAATCATGTCTGATAGAAAGACTCGGTGGACTTCCATGGTTTCTGAGCACGGTGGGGAATTACGTAGCAAAACAGCAATAACTTTTAGAAGCTCTGGAAAACAAAACAATTTTAAAAATCAATATGAAAATAAGATTTTTATCCCCATAATAATTCTAGTTCCTCCTTCTTCCCATGTTAAAAATTATTACAAGAAGCAAAGTATAACTTTTCTGGAATTATTCCTGGATCATTTCCTACATTTAACAAACCAGATTATGTCTTAAATAATGGGAGAAGAAATATTGGTCCTTCAAATGCATCCTTGTATCCTTTTTCCTTTATTCTGGTTTGGGTATCATGCACCTTAAAATTCCATTTTAACCATACAGAAACCTGAAAACACTCAATATTTTTATTAATTGCTTCCTGGGCCCAAGTCACAAGAGAAATCTTATTGGTGAGTTTCCCAAGGACATCTGGGAACAGAGACAGAAATCAGATAAGCTGAATAGTACATATTTATAGATGGATAATGATTACATCATCAAGTATACTTTGAGAGCAGAACATATTTTCAATTAAGACAGGATGTTACTAAATTCAGACCAAAACCTTATGCTGTGCAGATTATCCTTTTCTTGCAACCATAATTGAAGCCAACATTTCTATTGCTAAGCGAGATAATTCTTAAGTGAGTTTTGCTCCGTTTTATGATCTTTCTTGCCACAGTTGGTAAGTGAATCATAGCAGTTGTAAAGTTAGTAACACATTTCTTAAGTGAATCTGGCTTTCTCATTGACTTTGCTTATCAGAAGTTGACCCCATGAGTCAGTTGTCCTGCATTTCAATTTTGACCACATAACCGTGGGGATGCTGCAACAGTCATAAGTGTGAAAAGCAGTTGTAAATAATGTTTTTCAGTACTGTTGTAATTTCAAACAGTCACTAAATGAACTATTATAAGTCCAGGACTACCTGTAATTAGAAATAGCCCGTTTGGAAAATTATAAAAGCTACATTCTATGCATACAGGCATTCTTCTCAATTAACTAATTTGTCTGATAAATGCATAGCGATAATCTTAAAAATCTTTCAAAATTTATTAGTGATAGTATCCCTTACTGTGTAATGTGAAGAACTGTATTATCCTATTGCTATAGTATCATCCTTTCCCAGGATAATAAGGCTGCTTTCTTCAGAAAAGGATCAGTTCGTTAAAACAGCTGTAAAGATAGTCATTTCCATAGATGCTCCAAAGCACTTTCTGGGATTCAAACCCCAAATAATAAACAATTCTATAGTTATTATTTTCTGCCATAGCAATCCTATGCAGGTGTTTAATTGAAAGAGACAATAGGTAAAACAATAATAAATATTTGAGGCCTCCCAATATAGAACAATGATAATAAAAGACTGCTAGGCTGGAAGCATACTGTATTCACCTAAACCTTATTGCAAACTTCCCTACAAATAAGAAGCCCTATAAGGCATATTTCTAGACTGCTAAAATATTATAAAGGAAACTGGATGATCGTGTTTAAAGGCCAATTGCAGGGTTACAGTTAAACAAGGCTGCTGAATATGGGCCTTCTGTATATAGCCTTGTTCCTTTTTACCTCTTATTTGTGCATGTTAACAGCTCTCATATTAATAAAAATAAGATAATTAACCATTCCAAAGAAGAACTTTCAAGTATCTGAGAAACTGAAGTCAGTTTTTCCCCATCACTCATACAGTTAATTTAGAATGGAAATTAATAATGAAATTAATTTCCATGGTGTCACATCAAATTAGGTAGTCAGATATATGCTAGAATTGAAATTGTTACTTAAGTCCTATTCCTAAAAAAAAAAAAAACCTTTGAAAATATTTCAAATAACAACCGTTCCCAAAGTAGCAAATGTTAGATTATGAAAGCAAACATAAATATAAGAAATATGCTTTCTAGTATTTTTCCATTTTCCACATAAGGCACCATTTACAGACTCTCTAATAATTTATCTGAAAGAAACACAGATGCTTACGGGGATTTTGTATTTTCACTGTTGAATCTGGGTCAGGATGCTGTTTATGCATCACTTGTGTACAAATCTGCTCAATGAGTATCTGATTAAAAAGAAAAAAAAGAATATATTAGGAAAAAATTAATATTGAAATAATTCCAAACTTTTCAATTAAAAACAGCCAAATTCTGATCTTTAAAATAACTATATCAAGAAATAAAATACTTTAGATGACAAGCAGGAAGAATGACTTACTTCTTAGAAAATTAATGCTTTGTTATCATATTTTTCCTTGCTCAGATAACATTATTTAACTCAAGCTGGTGATAAAGTTCAAGTGAAAGGGTGCTCAATAGAAAAACAAGAAAAATGTAAGAACTCTATGAAAGTTTATTTTAAACACAGTCCGTTCATGCAAATAAATAAAAATATATTAAAACAACAAGAGGCTTATTGTTGGACCATTCTGGCACACCAAACAACACATATTGTTTGTTTATAATAAACAGCAAAATTTATCTGTAATTCTTTATCTCTGACTCAAGAGGGTCAGAGCTACAAAATCAATTCTATGGACAAAAGGTGGGATAAAAATTGAAAGAAGTCACAACAATTATTTTAAAGGCCTCTGTGGAGCTTTGGTTATGTGACAGATTGAAAAAGAAATGTGAGGCCCTCAAATTGCCCATTGCTATCTTAACTGAAGGATTGTTCAGTGTTATATTCTAAGGTTCTATACTTGTTAGTTAGTTGCCATACGAAAAACTTCTGATATATTATTATTCTGCACACACGCGCGCATGCACAAGCACACACACAGACACACGATTCAGGGCAGCAAACATACTTAATACTCTTGCTTCCTATTTTCTCTATACATATGCATATCCATATACATCTGCATATCCATATCCACATATCATCACATCATATCACACTAATCAAAATTTTATTTTCATAATATTGAAAGATGATTGACAATAGAAGTATTATTTTTAATTAAATTAACATTTTTATTCAAATTAAGTACTGAATTATTAAGTTTTGCTTTGCAAGTTAAGGATATTTTTGTAAAATTTATATTTGTTAACTAGGATTTCTGTGAAATAGAAACCAAAAATTCAAATTTTATCACCTGGAACTTACCAGTATAAATTAAATCATCTTAGCTACATATTTTAAGTCTTTTACCTCAAAAAGAACATTGTAGGTAGTCATGGAAATTAAGTTTGTTTGAAGCGTAAGCCTCTCAGTCAGAAGAGAAAACAGTCCATGTCCAATCATAATTTCTGCTTTCCTCCTAAAATTATATGGAAAATTAAATAGTAATAAATAACTTGAATATATTTTTGGAGAACAATCACTTTCAGTATTTAAATCAAAACTATTCTCCTTTTCTTCCCCATGCTCGTTTATTTTAGTCTTAGCTTATGCTTAGGTTTGTAGCTTTTTATGTTATGAAAAAGGAAAGTTATCAAGTCACATTTCAGAGATACTTCTTAATTAAAAAAAATAATGTTCTGGTGGAAATTTAATCTATATAATCAAATAATCAATTTTTTATAAAATAAATTGAAACATGCACACAATTGCTTGGAACCTCTGCTTTGCTTCTAAGTTTCAAAGGCTTGTTAACACCTTGCTATGTTTATATCAGAAACAAAGTACAGTTACTAATTTCCGAAGAACCCATAATATGCAAATCAAATTTAAGGCCTAAAGACGTGGCTCTGCCAGTTGGCTTGGGGCCTCAGTAGGGAACAACAGATACCACTTTTCCTCACTCCCCCTCGTTCAAAGTTTAAACTATGCTATCATGTTCTAGCTTCTTTGAAATTCGTAACAGATTTACAGTTTGATTACAATTAAAAAGTATGGTTAAGTATAGGGGAATATTAAAAGAATATGGACAAGCCTAGTTTATGCATACTTGACCAAGGTCTAATTGTCTGTAAAATGTAATCTAGGTAGACTACTTGTTCGGTGATTGTTTTAAATTACAACAGCACTGAAGGGAGGGACTCGTGACCTCTACCTGAAGTTCTGACCATCGCAGCACTAAATAATTAATAACTATCTCCTTCAACAATATAAAATCAACTAGCTCTATACTGTGCTTCACTATGAAACTATGTGATCAGGCTTAGCTTTTTGGGAGAAAAATAAGGGGAAAAAATTGTGCCTCTGCCTACCAGCTCAGTATTCATCTGGCTGGTGTCCTGTCAGTGTGTGAGAATTGAGGGCTGTTTGGAAACTGAACCATGGAAACTGAACCCGTATTTGAGACAGCAAGGAGCCTGGGAGTGGCTTAGCTCAACTGTTCTGTACTAAAACTGGTTGCTGCTGTGAAAGTAAAACTGAAACTGAAACTCCTCTCTGCTTGTGATTTGCATTTGGAACAGATTTATTTTCAGGTGGGAAGGGGGAGTAGAACTCTTTAGCATCAGAGCGTGTTAATAATAATATAGGAAATACTAATGTTCTGATGGTCATTTCGAAAAATCCTTTCTTAGTGAGCACCTAGAAGCCAAGAGGAACATACATGCCAAATTTCAAGTTTGTAGGCTTTCTGGAGATTTTGTGATGATGCATGAGTGGTATTTCGTTTTTATATACTGTATATAGATTACAGGTAATCCTTCAACTATGACCGTTAATTTAACATTGGTTTAAAGTTACAATGGGCTGAAGAAAAGGGACTTATGGCTGTCTTCAAAGATATGACCATCGTACCAGCCCCACAGTCACATGATCGTAATACAGGCACTTGGCAAGTGGTTTGCATTTATGATAGTTGCAGTATCTTGTGGTCACACAATCACGATTTGAATACAGGCACTTGGCAAGTGGTTTGCATTTATGATAGTTACAGTATCTTGTGGTCACACAATCATGATTTGCAACCTTCCTAGCCAGGTTCTGACAAGCAAATGAATTGGGAAAGCTGGATTCACTTAACCAATTCATTTAACACCATGCAATTCACTAAACAACCAATGTACCATGACCGTAAAATTTGGTCTGGTCATGTGATGACTTGCATTGCTTAATGATTGCATTGCTTAGTGACCAACATTCCAGCCCCAATTGTGGTTGTACGTCAAGGACTATTTATAGAAAATAATCCAGAAAAATAATATTTAAGGAGTTAGATGTTTTTATGATTTACTATTGTTTCCGTCTAATACTTACTTGGGTGCCAGATGCTTTAAAAAGTAGCCCATCACCTTCAGTGCTTGTACTCTGATTCCTTCACTTTTGGAAGCAAGAAGCTTGTAGATAACACTAAAAAAAAAAAAAAAAAATTTAATGTAAATGACTAAAATAGTTTATTTAGGCAACAATCAAGCTACACTTAGAGAATAATAATCATTGTACACAGTGATAGTTAAAACAATCCAGCATATTACTGAGATATTTATCCCCATTGAATCGGAATGGGGAAAATATCCATGTTTAACTCAAATCCCACTACTATTAATGGAAAAGAGAATTTATATAGGAAAAGGTCACAAACAAGAAAGACAGGGAAATATTTGTTCAAAATGGACAAATGCAAATTATCAAGGAATTGCGCAGCAGCTGTCTAGATGAAATCAGAGACACTGACAGAAACTTGCAGCCTTTTATATAAATATATTTAAATTTACAACAGTCTTTGTCATTATCCAGAAAAGGAAGAATAAACAGATAATGAGGAATATCATGAAGTAAACCAGGATAAAGAACAAGCAGAAGAAGAAAAAACGAGGGGAAAAAGGGAAACTCCCCCTTTATACTTACAGCAACCAATCATAGCATAGATTGCAGCATGCATGAGTCAGCAGGACTCTCTAACTAATCAGCTACTATTGTGTGTTCTGGCCTATTGTTCACCTTACTATTCCAGCTACTAAATTCAGTATCTTAACACAAATATTTATTGAAAATAATAGAAAATATTTTTCAAAACATAGTTTTTGAAATATATAGAGAACACAAACTGGAGAAACCATATATTTTCAACCTTTTTCTATCTCTTTGTCCAGTTTACAATCTTAGGTAAATATTTATGAAGTGTCTATATTCCAAGTTATGGATTGAATATATCAGTCTTTTTGAGAGAACACAAATTGTGTGAATTTTGAGAGAAAGCTACGTTAACTAACATTTGACATGTATCCCTTGCTAGTCATATATAACAGCATTCAAAAAAGTGGAGGAAAGAAATAAAGGTAGCCCTCAATTTACAACCATAATTGAGCCTACAATTTCAGTTATAGGTCCGACTTGTGACAGTTTTAAACAGGGTCACCATGTTACCTGATCTGATTTTTTTGATAAGTTTTGAATTTCAAACAATAAAGGTAGTTAGAATTATTGTTTCAAATTATATTCTTGGATATCAATCAGTTAACAAAACATATTTTTATTTATTTATTTATTTATTTGTCAAAAGCTTACACTACAACAGAAACAAGAATAAAGTTTAAATACAAGAAATAGGAACTAATAATTTGGGACAATAGGACAGGGATGGTAGGCACGATTGTGCACTTATGCATGCCCGTTAATGTATACGTAACTGGATGTTTTATACAAAGTAACCCCACATTAATATGTAACAAAAGACATTTATCTGACTAGACAACCAAAAAATTCAACTGATTATTGTTATTTCTATTGAAAGTTATTTCTTACCGTAACCCATTCCTCTGATCAAAAGCAGGAATCATAGAACTGGGGTGCTCAGACATGAGAGCAACAAGCAATTGCAAAACATCCATTAAATTTTCATCCTAAATATAAAGAAACTCATGTTAAAGCTGATACTGATAATTTGTGAATTACTACTATATTCCTCTTCTGTCATTATAGACCAAGCATGTCAAACTCATGGCATCATGTGACATATCATGACTTTTCCCCCCTTTGCTAAACCGGGGGTGTGCGTGGCCAACGCATGATGCATCAGACCCAAGAGAAAAGTGTTTCACATATAGTGTTTTCTTCATTGATGGCCATAGTGATAAGCATTTGTTAAAGTTAGGATTAGAGAGAATGGAAGATGCTTGAGACACATTTGTGATATTTTCAGTCCTACCAGGACTAACAGAGTGAGCATGTTCCAAGCTGTTTTCTTGAAGCAGTATTCTAGTGGGAACCAGAAGAGGTGCTTTTTCTAACACAAAGCTTGCCTAATTACTTGCTCTATTCTTTCCAAAACTAAGCAGGCCCCATACACTTTGGGCCTTCCAAAAAGCTTTAAAATCTTTGCTATTCCTTCAGATATTGGGTCAAGATAACAGGTAAATTCAGCTGTAAGCTGAATGAAGATGAAAATTTTGAGAACTTGTCTACATTATAGATAGTACTCAAATTATGACCAAAATTGGGATTGGAGTTTTAGTTGAAAGTTGCAATCATAAATTGAGGCACCACATTACCATACTCAATGTTACAACCATTTTTACAGCAGGCATTAAGTCGGTAAGCAAATCAACCTCATTCTTACATGAATCGTATGGTCTTAAGAATCTGCTTTTATCCAATGGTTGGCTTTGCCAGTTTCTGGCAAAATCATTATAAAATGTGATCACATGACTGTGGGATGTTGCAACCAGACACAAGTTGCCAAACTCTCAGAATGTGATTGTGTCACTGCAGGGGTGGTGCAGCAGTCATAAGTTCTAAGATGTTGCAAGTTCTGAGATACGTCATATTTTTTTTAGTCCATAGTAACTTTGCTGTTAAGTGAAAAATCATTAGTCAAGGACCATCTGTAATGTTGTGGTATTTATTTTTCTAACTTTTTGGGTTTTATTGTTATAGTTGTAACTTATTCTTAGCCATCCAGAATCATCAAAGCAAGATGGGTGGCTGTATAATTTTTAAGGAATAAAAATGCAGCTTCATATTATAGTATTCATGTAATGATATTCATAAGAAAGATGTAAAGGATACTTATGAAATTTCATGATGACAGTCATAAAAGCCAAAGGAAGAAGTAGTAAGGAAAAACTGACAGCCTAAATTAAAAAAAAAAACTTAACTCAGATCTATACAAACGTAAGAAACAAACAAAGTTATCCCTGCTCCCAGTACTAAAAAAAGTAACTATATAAAAGTAGGCCATATTAGAACCAAGGAAATAGATCCATTGGCCCATGAAAGTTTTAATATATTTTAAACAAAACAATCATTTATTCCATGCTATAAATGCGAGTTTCAGAAGTAGAGACACTCAGAAGCAATTTAGTGTGGCAGGGAAACTGTTATTCAAATAACAGCTTTGGCTGTTTTTTATTTTAGATTCATAACACTAAAGCCACCAATTAAGACATGTCCTGTATACAAAAACATAAAACAATATGTTGCTAAACTGTTTCAGACTTCAGTCCTAAACTAGCAATTGATATACAAAAGAGTCCACATATTTTTACAAAATCAAATACTGTGTTTCCCCGAAAAGAAGACCCTGTCTTATATTTTTTTGCCACCAAAAAAAGGCACCAGGTCTTATTTTCGGGGAATGTCATCCACTGACTAACCTTGCCCCCGGCCTCTTTTTCGCTGTGAGAGGCCTTCAGGAACTTCTACTGTGGCCGGCAAGGCTTTCCTGAAGGCTTCTGCAGCCAATAACAGAACTCCAGATTGATCCAGAGCTTTGTTATCAGCTACAGAGGCCTTCAGGAAAACCTTCTGCCAGCCTTGCCAGCTGCAGAAGAAATGGGCCAGCAAGGCAGGTGTTGGGGTATTCGAGGCCTGGCTACAACTGTCCAAAGGCAGTTCCACCACCCCCATCCCCACCCTAGCTTAATTTTTATCCCTCCACTCTGGAGTGGACAGGACCTTAATTAGGGCTTATATTGGGTACACATGTAAAAATCAAGCTAGGACTTACTTTCAGTGTAGGTCATATTTTTGGGGAAACAGGGAAGTAACTATGTTACCAAATGCATAAATCTAATACTTTATATTTTGTGATATTCTTTCTTTTCCCCTCTGCTATCTCCAGGTATTGCAGCATCCATTATCAAGACTTTTTGTCATTCTTATTGACCATTCTTAAGTCTGCAATATTGTGCAGCAAACATTTGTATTATTATAGATAAAATAAAATAAAACAAACTATATTTAGTTTTTTGAAGCTCCAAGATATCACCATCAGTGTTTTGAATCTTAATGCACATAGAACGTGTACTTACTGCTTTTGGAATATACTTGCAGACAAGCCAAGAATTTTACATGGCTTGCCTGAAAAACAAGCCTCAAAACTGTGTTCTGCTTATGCATGAACAAGCTGATCAGGGAATATATGTAGCAATACTTTTTTAAAATATCCATATAGATGGTGCATAATCATGAATCAACCCATCTATAAATAAGCAGATCCTCACATTTTAACCAAAATACAATGAAAAAAGTGCCAATTGTGGATAGATTGTATAAATTTAAAACAAACAAACATTTTAAGGACTCGTCTTATTGCAGACTGAACATTTTTCACATCTATCCAGAAATACTTTATTTAAAATGGTATTATTATTTTTCATGGAAAAAATCCTTCGTGGGTACAGCTTCATGATTTGTTCTTTTCTCTGTCCCCCCTCCCGATATTCCAGTTTGATGAAATGAATTGAAAAATCCCTATAGAATCCTGTTGCACAAAAGAACTTCAAGATAAGGGTTTTAAATCATATCTGTAGATTCAATCAATGTTATATATGTTTTTCTTATTTCAATGTTATTGGATGGTAGGATATTTTATTCAAAAGCTTCTTGGAACTTAGTTTACCTCATGAATGGTAAGAAGATAATTCAGAATGCCCTGGAGTTCATCTTCTTTCACTCCATAGTCCTTAAAAGATAATCAAGAGAAATGTAATTCAAGTAGTGTATTTAAAAGCAGAAAAAACAGGTCACCCTCTAACATAAATTCTAGTGAAATATTTTGAATTCATTAATACATGACTTCAGTATTAGTTTTAGTTAGTATTAGTATTAGTTTTAATATTACAGGTCCCTATGACTATGTGTACGACACATAAATTCCATACATTCCCATATATTGATCCTTTAGATCAATGGTCGCCAACCAGTGGGTCAGGGACCAATGGTGGTCCACGAGAAAATTTTGGTGGTCCGCAGAGAAATGTCATCCCCAAAACACCCCCCAAAACAATTAATCCAGGATGTGCAGGAACACAAGGCTGTGCCGCCCGCATGGTCTGCGGGAACACAAGGCTTTCGTCACTTGCATTGCGAATAATACAAGGTAGTGAGGGGAAAGGGTGGAGGGGGAGAACTCGCCCCACGTGCCTCGCCTGGCCACCGGGCTGTTTTTTTTCCATTTCTTTCTTCTTCTGCTTTTGGCTGCGTGCAAGGAAAGCAGCAAAAGTCTTTTTCTCTCTCCCCCAAACTCTGCCAGAAATGAGTCTTTGGGACCCTGCAAGACATCCTGCTCCAAGAGGCTGCATCGGCAAAGACTCATTTCTAGTGGAGTTTGGGGGAGAGAAAAAAAGACTTCTGCTGCTTTCCTTGCATGAAGGCTAAATTCTCTCTCTCCCTCTGAGAATGGAACTGGAGACAGTAAAGAATGATCGATCAGTAGGAAAATGGGGTGGGGATTCCCAGGGTCTCTGCAGACAGATCGTTCTTTATTCATATACCGTGCTTCTCACAAAATAAGGCCAGGCCTTTTTTTTTTTTTTTTGAGCCCCGAAAAAACGGCTAGGACGTCTTTTCTGGGGTGAATTATGCACCAGCGCCGTCTCCAACAACAGCGTCTGAGTCGCTCCCGCTTTTCCCCCGTCCCTGTAACAACAGGGAAAAAAAACATTTTGAGGTACCTGGGAGCGCCATGTGCTGCGTTTTGGTTTAATCCTGAGTGGCTGGGTGGGCGTGAGAAGAGCCAAGTGAGCATCTCTGCTGCTGCTACCCTTGGTGCTGGTGCTGGTACTCTTGCTCCAGCCTCGGGCTCTGCAAGTTTGCAAAAGTCCCAGTGCACAGCCCATTCCTGCATTCCAAGCGCCCAGGCCGAGCTGCAGCTATCCCTCTCTCGCCAGCGCTGTCTCCAATAACAGTGGCAGCAACAGCGGGAACCGTGGAAGTTACGGAGGTGGCTCCCCCACCCAAGAAGCGGCTGAAACGCTTCCACGGTTCCTGCTGCTGCCGCCGCTGTTATTGGAGATTGGGCTTTGCGAGAGAGGGACAGCTGCAGCTCGGCCTGGGTGCTTGGAATGCAGGAACGGGCTGCGCACCGGGACTTTTGCAAACTTGCAGAGCCTGAGGCTGGAGCACCAAGGGTGGCAGCAGCAGAGATGCTCACTCAGCTATTCTCACGCCCACCCAGCCGCTCGGGATTAAACCAAAATGCAGTGCGCGGCTCTCCCAGGTACCTCAAAATGTTTTTTTTCCCTGTTGCTACGGGGACGGGGGAAAAGTGGGAACGACTCAGACACTGTTGTTGGAGACAGCGCTGCGAGAGAGGCGCCAGCACTGGTGGGAACTGTGGAAGCTACGGAGGCCTGAGAAGCGGGTGAAATGCTACCGGACATCCACGCCGACACCGCCCACCTGCTGATCCGGGTAAGGGAGCCCTCTGTGCTCCACCATGGTGTTAGGAGCAGCTGATGGTGAGGCGTAGCTGCCCGCTGGGCACTCCTAATGGCAAGTTCCCCCCCGCCTTCCCCCCCCAATTTCGCATGTTTTAAACTAGGCCTACATTTGGGGGGAGGGGCTTAATTTCATTTTATGCCTAGAAAACATGCTGGGTCTTCCTATTGGGGGGGCTGTATTGTTGGAGAAACATGGTGTGTGTGTGTGTGTGTGTGTGTGTGTGTGTGAGTGTGTGTGTGTGTATAAATATATACATATACATACATACATACATATATCTATATATATCCCTGAAATGAGGGTGTGTGAGGGACCTCTGTTTGTGTGTCTTTGTGTGTGTGAGAGAGAGGGAGAGGGAGAGGGAGAGGGAGAGGGAGAGGGAGAGGGAGGGAGGGAGGGAGGGAGAGAGAGAGAGAGAGAGAGAGAGAGAGAGAGAGAGAGAGAGAGAGAGAATATCACCACCAGCCCTCCAAGGTTAGATCGGATCTCTCTCTCTCTCTCCCACTAATGTCAGCAAGCCACCATCAGTCAAAATTCATATTAGTGGTCCACGGGATTTAAAATTATGAGTTTGGTGGTCCCTCAGGTCCAAAAGGTTGGCGACCCCTGCTTTAGATCAGGGCTCCCCAATTCCCGGTCTATAGATTGGCACCAGTCCACATCATGCCAGAAATCAGGTCACACAAATGAGCGAAGCCGCATCTGTGGGATACAGACAGCACACAAAACCACGCCCCTCCAGTCCACAGAAAAACCTCTCTCCGTGGAGCCAGTCCCTGCTTTAGATCTCATACTCTTGGCCATTTATTTAAAGGGGACCTATATCAATTACAATACAGCTTACCCAATAAAAGAGGACTGTGACTCAATAACAGAGCTTATGGTTGCCTGAAGGAGCTCCCAAGTATAGTCTTTCAATTAATTTGGAATAACCATAGCCGAGAACCCCACAGAGTCACTGCCAGTTATCAAACCAGATAAACAAATTGTATGTTTCAATATAAAACTAGCTTTAAACATTCTCATCATTGTTTTTATGCATTTAAAGTGGTCTTCTGACTAATTTGCTAAATAATTCAAATAGAATCAACTATTAGAAGCAAAATATCTTTATTTTTAATTAAAAAGACACCAAGAACACCATCCAGAGTCATTTGTTTGTGAGATGGATGGCTATATAAATTTAACAAATGAATAGATAAATGAATGTCTACATACAAGTCTCAAACTATAGTGAAAAAAGTTTTTCATTCTTCCAGGATATATAATTGATACCAGAAGAGACAATATTCTTAACTAAGCATGATATAATCATATAGATCTATTAACATGGCTTGCCTTAGAGTCAGAAATAAGAAATACTGAGCGTGCTATAAGGCTTCAAGCATTTTTAAAGCAAAATCAAATATTGTACCAATTTCAAGCTCTGAAAATATTTTTTAAACATTTGTCCTATAAGGTTTCTACTTTTTTTTCAGCTGGAGAAAGTCTAAGCCTCCTTCAGTTATTTGCACTTATCTTTGGGGAGCTTTATTAACTTAGCTTTTTTCAGTCAAGTAACATGACAAGGACAACAGTGAAAGAGGGACAGAAAACAAAAGGAAGAAATAGGACAGGATGGATGGCTTGAACTTTGCCATCAGCATGGTTTATGTACTTTATGTAGACATCAGTTTGATTCACAGCTTGGATTCACAGCTTGGATTCACAGCTTGGTTAACCTTCTTTTTTATACTATATCAATATAAAAGGCAGTATTTTCAATATTAAGCAAAAACCAAGAACATGGGGGCATAACCCCAAACTGACAGGAGGGAAGTTCAAAAGTAGTGTTTGAACGTATTACTTCATAGAAAGAGTAGTGGAAGCATGGAACCAACTTCCAGCAAAGGTAGTCAATCACCAGTAACTGAATTTAAACACAGGATAAACACTTATGCATCATCTGACAAAAAATAAAAAATAAAACAAATTAAAAAAACCTGAAAGGGCAGACTTGATGGACCACTTGATGGGTCTTTTTCTGCGGTCAGTTTTCTATGTTACACAGAGAACAATTATTAATTGAAGAAAGCAGCTCTAGTGAGACATGGACATTTAAAGGGCTGCACCTTCTTCACCTTAATCATTCAGAGCCTGTACTTCCTACAAGCAAATGTTCAGTCATCAGAAATATAAGGTACACACTCTAAAGCAGGAAGCCCCCCCCCCCCACTGCAATCCATTTGAATTGGAATGATGATTCCTAGAAGTTGAGTTCCCTTCCATTAGCATCTTAACGATTCTAGAAAACAATAAGCAGGGCAAATAGCTCTGTAAGAAAATAAAACTGAACAATACAAACTCAATTTTAAGATTTCTTACCTTTGTCACCAATTGCTTAATAAACATCAGTAAACAGGCTCGCAGAGAAAGAATTTCTTTCTGATTAGGCCGAGGTCCATCTTAATATGAAAGATACATTATATTACATCATATACTTAAAGTCTGTGATTATTACTATGCTATTACAGTAACTCCTATTTTTTTGTGCTGTATATTAAAGAAAACATTATTTTGAACACATGGAATATTTCAATCACATGGAATATTTCAATCAAATTAATTTGCTTTAATCAGGTTAATATCTTAACAAAACTCAAATCAAATGTTTAAGCTACAATGTTTTCATCCAACTTAAGCAATGGATTGCTTCAATCCTTTTCAGTGGAAAGCTGTGTGTCAGAAATATGACACGTATCTATATTTCCTAGGGAAAAACTATTCTGACCTCCTTTTTTCTAATTTTTGGAACAGCTCCTTGTGTCCTCTTTTGTGCTTAAACCAGGTTCATCCCCTCTTTCTTTTAACATCACCAATCCCAGAGAATTATCTTCCTTGCTGACCAAAATATTTTTTGCTATTGAGATTTTTCCTTCTGAATATTGCAAACCACCTCCAGTCTCTTGGTCATATCTCAAATAGGCAATATCCCTTGGCAGCCTTGGTCATGTACCTTTACTTACAGAAGGAATACTAAGTCATGGTTTGTTGTAACTGTGCATTCCAAGTTGTGCATATACCATAAGTAGCAATATTTTTTGTTGTATTACTATCCCACCTTTATTTTTACAAATAACTCAAGACAATGAATATGTCAAACACACTTTCCCCCTTCTAATTTCCCGACAACAACCCTGTGAGGTGGTTTGGGCTAAGTGGGGATGGCTGGTCTAGTCACCCAGGTGATGCTGTGCTAAGCCACAAATAATATTTATATAATTCACAGTGCTTCGGTTTGCAGAACTTCCTAAGCCACGGGTGTCAAACGCGCAGTGTCACGTTGCCATTACATAATGTTTTGTGATGTTTTTTCCCTTCACAGAGCAGGGGTGGGTGTGGCCTGCGTGTGATGCATCTGGCCCATGGGCCGCCAGTTTGACATCCCTGTCCTAAGCCAAAACCCAACTAAATATGTTAGGCTAAAGAGTGAATCCAGGTAAAAGTTAGTAAGAGATCCTGAAGGTTTACAATGACATAATTACAACAGCAAAAGAACTACGAAATGAGATAATATTTGTATTTATTTTTAACTGGTTTTCAACCCCTTTGGACTCCTTTGAGTCAATGTTAACTCCTGTCGAATGCCTAGACTAATCCCTGCAGTTTTCTTGGTAAATATTTGTGAAGTGGTTTGGCATTGCCCGCTTCCTACTAGTGTCTGATTCAGCGTTCACCCAGCTGGCTTCATGCCTAAGGTGGAATAGGACTCCCCTAAGTACCATACCACACTGGCTCTCTTTAGCAGAAATGCATACTGCAAATTCCATGTGAATTTCTTATCCGTTGCAATATTTTATGTGTATTTCCAGATTTTTTTGCATATGTTTTGCATGTATCTAACTATAAGAGTAATTCCATATACATATACATAAACATACATATACACACTTGCACACAGACATACACACACACACACACACAAACAAATGGAATATGACACTAGAGTTTTAAAAGAATACAGATCACCCAGTATCACACACATTACACTTAAATTCCATAAATATTTAAAATATTGTGTCATTTCAGCATCTAACTTATTCATAGTTCCAAATGTTGTGTTTTTGTTGTAAAGCAAGAAAATAAATACATACCTAAACCTTTAGGAGTAATTCCACTACGGTCTTGAGGATTAACTACCCAATAGTAATACTTCAAGGTATGCATTGCCAATAGAACTGTACCAACTCGTCTAATTGCATTATATATATTTGCTATGCCAATGAATTCAGTGGACAAGTAAGTGTACAACATCAATTGAACCTGTATCATCCAATTAAAAACAAAAACAAAGGAGAATAACTAAGTTTATATATATTAGGGAAATTAAATAAAGGCAAGGAAATGAGCACTCCCAAAGCTCTATTTATACATTTATTTATCTGGAATCAATACCAATAGATATAATTTATAACATTTGCAAAGATTTTCAGAGGTTTGATATTGTGATATATCATTGCATTATGTCTATATTGGGCTTATGTACAAAACAAAACAATTGGGGTTTTGAGTTCAAAACCAAGAAACCCACCAAAGCTCATTCTCTGATCTGCTTTCCACAGAATAAAATCTGAAACAGTTCAAAAGTTCTATTTCATTGGAGTAAACCTCAGAATATTCCAAGCCATATACTAAAAAGTAAAAGTGAAAAGTTTAAGATATCTAGTTTTCTTTTTCACTTAAGTACTGTAAGAAGGAGAGGGTCATACACATTAGCTTGCTTCAACAAGCCAAATGGGAAAATTCTTAATGAAAGAATTTCTTTAATAATAAGACTATCAAAAATGTTCAATTTAGTAGTAATAAATTAGTAATTACTTATTGGAAACAAAACACTCAGACCAATGTACTTTTGTTTAAGCATGAAACACCTGAAACAGCTGTGCACTCAAAACAGTTTCACAAGTGAAACATTTTTCATTAATTTGTATGGTTAATTCACTTTCCCCCCCTTCTGTTCAATTGTGTCTGATCCTTGGAGACTGCCTGACCAGAGGTGGTATTCAGCAGGTTCTGACCAGTTCTGCAGAACTGGTAGCGGAAATTTTGAGTAGTTCGGAAAACCAGCAAATACCACCTCTGACTGGCCCCGCCCCTATCTATTCTCTGCCTCCAAGTCCTAGCTGATTGGCTGGGTCTTCTTTTGTTGCCCTGCACAGGAGAACAGAGCTGGAAAGCAGGTTAGTGGGATGGGGAGGGAATTGGATTTTGCAATAACCTTCCCCCAGGAATGGGGAGGGAATGGGGATTTTGCAGTATCCTTCCCCTGGAGTGGGTTGGGAATAGAGATTTTACAGTATCCTTCACCTGCCACACCCACCGAGCCAAGCCATGCCCACTAAGCCACACCCACAATTTTGAATCCCACCACTGCGCCTGACAACTGCCTGCAGTTCTCCTGGCAAGTTTTTTTCAATAATAGTTTGCTATTGCCTCCTTCTTAGGGCTGAGAGAAAGTAAATGGTCCAAGATCACTTGGGCTTTTTGCTCAAGGCAAGACTAGAACTTCCCTGGTTTCTGGCTGCTTAACTACTACACCAAACTGGGTCTCTTAGTTCATGTTATGCTTCTCCAAAATACTGTATATCTTTTAACACAGGAGAGGGGAAATAAATCTAAATTATGGAATCTGTATATCACATTAGTACTAAAAGAAAAACCGAGTCTTTTTATGCTCTGTTCACAAATGGAATGCATCTTACCTTGGCTGGAGTATAAATCCATATTACAGGGTTAAGGAGAATATGATCACAGAGCTGCTTCAGCAAGGGGGCTCCATTATGCAAATTGCTCAGATATTTAGCAAAGGCAAGGCAAAGGTCTAAGACAGTTCTGTTAATGTGTGCTTTGGAAGACTGCAGAAGGAAAAATACACTTAAGTAATGATGAACATAGCCAAAATATTTTTTAAAAATGCAAAGAAAAAAACATTTAAATTTTCTTTACCTTTTCAAGACTGTATCCTATTACAAGGAAGCCCTTACAAGAAAGCATTTGTTCTTGCATAGCAACTGAGTTCTTCAGCAATTCCATAATGAAAGCCAGTAAAATAGAACTGAAAAACATATTGCATTGATGCAGCATATTAAAAATTAGCATATTTAGGGTTTGGAGTAGCACATTTTTGTTGATTGATTGATACTGGGTCATTCTTCTCAATTCAGCAGAGTACATATTTTTATAGTTTGAAATACAATTACTGCAATTGCATAATTTACCGCATCTTTGCCAAGTAACCACTATCACCCTATAGCAATCCCAAAGAGTGATGACTAGAAGGAATATAAACATTGATGTTCCTCCTTGAAGAAATATTCAATAGTAGCAGGAAGCTTCATTATTGCAAGCAATACATAATCCAGTCTATAATGTACCTGACAAACTGGTTCTGAGAGTAAGAGAGTAAGCTATGTTTAAAACACATTACACTGCAAAGCAAGTCTAGAGGATCAGAACACATACAGATTGCAGATTAGAACTAAGTTCTATAGATTTCTTTTTTCTTTTTCTTTTTGTCATGAAATATAGTTCATTTTCCAGTATTAGGGCTTTAAACTATACGGAATTAAAAGTATGCCATTTAGAAAAAAAATACATGCAAATATTATTTTAAACAACTCTTTAGCCTGACAGCTGAGCAATTTAGAAAATTATGACTATGTTTATTGTACAAAATTCAGTCAAGAAATAATACCACAAAAATGGAAGGAACCAAGTACAAAACCAGGTAACTTTGGCTAATTAAAATATTTGAGGTAAACAAAAAGGTTGTGCTTTGGTACCAACATTGGCAATTACTTTAGAAAAACAAGTAGTTTAATAAAAACAATCAGAAGGATGAAGAAAATAAATGTCTGTTATTTCTAATATAACATTTTCATTTAGATGATAAAATACCATGATATTTGAATCAAAATCAAATGTTATAGCTTTAATTTATATTTATATTGTTACTGCAGCCAAAGCAAATAATGTACATTGCTGCATAATTTACTGGGTAAATTAGGTGTTCTAGTCCAGAATGTGTCTCATTAAAAATATTAATGTACAATAACCAAAAGTACCATTTGCTTTTGAAAGCTATTGCATTTAAATTCTAAAAGCATTTAGAAGGCAATTGCTGCAGAATAATTAGCTTTTCCTAGAAACACACCCACTGTTTTTGACAATCCTATAGTAGTTTGTACATATAAGACATTTTTTACTAATCAAGTACTGGAGTCAGGAAGATAAACTCTCCTTGGCCAGAACCAGCAGCTCTGTAAAAAATAACCCTGTATACCTTTTGACAGAAAGGAATTCATCCCTGAGGAATTTTTCATATCTCCCCCTCCCTGACTCCATAAATTACATAGCTACTGAATGATGTACACATTTGTGTAGAAGACTTAGTGTCAATAATCTGACTTCATCTCAAGGTCTTCTCTCCATAACAGATTTAACATGCTCTAACCTTGAAAATATAAATAATGTTCTCCACGCTGCAATATAATTGCATTACTTGGGGATAATTCCCACTCCCATTCCCCCCCCAAAAGCTAAACATGTTCTCATGTATTTTCACTTCAGATACATTTATATCTTTTAACATGCATTGTATTTTCAACTTACTTTATCATCACAAACATTTCCAAAATTAGTGCCGTTGCTACAGAGTTATCACTAAGAGTTACTACTTTTTACTATTAGAATACAATAGTTTCTCTGACATTTAGACCATCAAAATGAAAAGGCAGTTTGAAGTGAGAATAAAGATTCTTCTTACCAAAGAGTTGTGTCAGGCTCATCCAAGGAATATTGCCTATAGTCCAGCTGTGCAAATAGAGGAAATAACACCTGCACTCCTCCAATAGAATGCATTGCACCTTGGATAGAATGGGTTATGACTGCTTTCACATCCTGTAATGTCAAATTTGAACATATTAAATGTGGTTCTTTTTCCCCGCTATTGTTACTTTTAGGTTTCAATGTATCAAAAGAGTTTCAGTAAGATCTTTTCATTATTTACATTATAGTGCCCTGCTAAGGTCATACACATTGTGAAAGACCACAGTTGTGTTCTATACAGGAAATCTAAATAAAAGCCTTTAAAATAAGGATGAGAGCAGAGCTTCTATCAGGCCTTAAAGCAAAGGATATGTTTAGCTTGAAGAAAATACAAGGGCCTGAGAGCTTATGATTGCACATCACTAATCATTCACATCTGGTCTGAAAACAGGCTATGCGTTGAAAGGATCAAGCCATAAACCTTAAATCTTTTGAAGAACACACTAAAAGATCAAAACACACCGGGGGGGGGGGGAAATCAAGTACATCTCCCTATGAACCTGAAATCAGACACACCAAAATACCTGTAACATGAGGGCATGTGGTGAATGTACAAAGATAGAAGGATTATCCTTGGGTGATGATTCTAGGCAGAGCTGTGCATCGGTAGCCCTTGGGTTGTATGTAAAGGCAATAGCATTAGACAGTTTTCCATCATATAATAATTGTTTATGATGATCAGCTAGGAACAGATCACTTTCTCCCTTGAACTTAAAAGTTCCCTAAAAGGAAAGATTAAAAGAAAGATAATATTTAACCTGAATGCAATTGGAATGCAAAGTTTCACATGTAGGTAGTTTAGGATGATTCAACTATACATGTGTGAGATGCATTAATGAGTAAAAACAACAATAAACAATATTTTTAAAAAGAAATTCTACATTTATATCTTGGCATTGCTTATTTGTAAAAAAAGGGATAAGGATGGGAGAAAATATATTTGAATGCTGTTTATTGGAAAAGTTGAAGAGCAAAACAATTTTGTTATGTTTTATAATTTTGTTTTGTTCAGGAGTACAAGCAGCCCGGATTTAGGACCGTTCTTTCAGCTACTGATCAAAATTACAATGGTATAAATGAAAGAACATACAACCCCTGCCTGAAGTTGCAGCCACTGCAGCATCCCTGCAGTCATGTGAACAAAATTCAGGTACATGACAATCTGCCTGCCCTTATATCAATCACAGGTATGCTGCAGCAGGATTCCCCACCTATCTTTCCCCTCCTCCGACTCTGCTAGTCCCCACAGGTCTTAGGCCTGCTGCTTCCCATCCTGCTAGGCCCCACACCTTCCTCCCCATACTGTCATGGCTTGGTCCACTTCATTGTGTCTGCCTCCAAAAGGGTGTTCCCTTCTGTGATGGCACTATGCAGCCTCTATATAGGAAGGCTGTGTGGCAGAGTAGCTACTTCTACAGGGAAATCTATAGAAAAGGTAAATAGATCGAGCCATGATGGAGGAAGGAGAGGAAGGTATGGGATCCAGTAAGGTGTGAGGCAGGATTATGACCAGTGAGGACCCAGTGATGCAGAGAAGGCCCAGGGCAGGCCACATGTGAACCGGAGAAGTGAAGCAATGAGTGTCTGTGCCTGTGCTTCCCCACCTGAGGCAATTGCTGCTCACAACCACAATAGGGAGAGCAGGAATTGATGCAAGGTGTTCACATGGATGTTTCACTTAATGACTGTCATGATTTACAATCATAATAGTCATGTTCCATAATGGTTGTAAGTTGGGAACATGTATATGAAGTACAGACATTTACATTTAAAATTGACACATACAAACATACAGAGTCAACATCAAGCCATGGTTTATAATGCTTGAACTCTATCCTTGGAGCTTAGCTGAGGCACAAGAGGGTCATATCCTTCATTTTTGAGGATAAATTAGTAATAAATTTAAATTAGTAATATTTATTATATTCTGCATAAAGTAAATGGAAATCAGAATATTTAAAAACACACTCATCATTTAACAGGGATGCTGTTATAATTTTAAAATCAATCCAGCATAAAATTAAAGTTTTCTTAGTTCCACCAAAATCCTGTTAGGACTATACATACTTTGTATCCCAGACCAAGTTGATAAATTGCAAAGATCTGAGCAGCATTGAGAGCTTCACTGAAAAGATAAACAGCTGTCATCTGCCCACAAAACACTCGATTGGCATCTGCTGTTTCTGAAGAGCCCAGGAAACATTTGTCAAATGTCTAAGAAAGTAAATTTAAAAATCTAGTCAATGTTTAATTTGTTTTTGAAAGTGAAGACTATATACATGATAAAATATCTTCCATTCTTTCTTTTTCTTTTTCTTGTATATGTATTTGGGATGAGTAAAGTCACTGGAGTTGTGAACATAGCTTCCTTAAAATAAATTTTAATGAAGTCAGAATTTCATTTGTTATTGTTTTTTACAGATGAGTTTTTTCTTAGGATATTTTCTTAGGTAGCATTTTACTCCAGGTGGTACGGTAGTGATTGTGATGTTTTTGTTATATGGATTGTTTTTACATTGATCAGAGTAGAGATGTGAGTAGTATACGTAGTACTGACATAATTTAATTAACAATAGCAATAAAGAAAAAAAATCACATAAATTATTTCTCATCCATATTTATTTACTTAGTTGGTAAGACTATTTTTACATATTCATTCATTCATTCATTCTCCAAGTGTCACAGATTGGACAAAGAGAAAATATAGAACTTTTATCCTATATTTAATTTATAAATATTGCTAAAGATATAAAAAGAAGAGTTCAGTTACAACTGAAGCAATGCATATGACAAACTAAGGAAATAAATGTGAATAAGAAAAAAATATGTATTTTTTCCGTTTATTGCTTTTATTTTATTTATTTCAGTGCAGGATATAATGCTTACATTAGTACTCTGACCAATGTAAAAATAGTCCATACAACAAAACAGAATACTTTATTAAAACATTATAGTTATCACCATACCACCCGGAATAAAAGGCTACCTAAGAAAATATATAAATAAGAAGAAACAATGATATTCCAGTTACCCATTCCAGTTAGACCAACCCCCAAAGTAAAATTGTTTTCACAACATGAAGAGTAAGGCACCAAGTGATCAAGATATTCAAAGCATTGAGATCATCTCTGAGAAAGCTTGCCACCAAAATGCCAGCCTTCTGAACCATGAGGTCCCTCGTCTCTGACAGGGTTGACTGAATTCTTTAAAACAATGTAGTGTTTCTTCTACTCTAAAGGGTTCATCATAAGCACCATTCTGAACTGTGCTCCGAAGCCTTTAACAAACAGTGCAAATACTGAAAAATAGGGCCTAGCAGACCCCCTTTTCTCTGAAGATGACAGCCACAATTGCCAGCAAAATATCAGGAAATCTTTTATCTAGATCAAGGTCAATTAACCCTAAAGGCCAATATTTATTTATTTGTTAGATTTGCATCCCACGTTTAATAGCATCTCAACGAGATATCCATATGATTTCACACTAACAACCCTGTAAAATTGTGACAGGCCTACTTATATTTATAAATGAAAAAAATATCTGGGTCAATACTCAAGATCTCTGCTTCAAATTATTGTTTAGCGCAAAAATTAAGAGAATAGTCAATTTCCATTTTTCATTTTCAACTTTAACATAAGCAACATAAGACAGAAAAGACATACAATATCTCCTGTAAATAACTGATAAAGTGAATCACTTACATCACTGGCATTGACAAACCATGTTATCTCTCCATATGATGCTAGTTCTCCATTCACATAACATCTGAGTTCACTATTCTTCCAGCGATTATAGATATGAACAATAGTAACCATGTACCACTATATAAGGAAATGTAGATGAATTAGACTGTCAGCTGAAAATTAGTCAGTCTGCACATAGTGAACAGAAAATGCATTGTTGCTATATTGTTCTTTCACTGACAGTCATCCATTTAATAGCCTTATTTTTTAAGTAATAACATTACTTAATTTTTGCTATTGAGAATGTGTTTTGCATTCTGCATTCTGTTCTTCTGTTTTTTTAATCTATGACTGCTTCTACAGGTAGTCCTGAACTTACGACCACAATTGAGCCCAAAATTTCTGTTGGTAAGTGAGACATTTGTTAGGTAGGTTTTGCCCCATTTTACAACCTTTCTTACCACAGTTGTTAAGTGAATCACTGCAGTTGTTAAGTTAGTAATATGGTTGTAAGTGCATCTAGTTTCCCCATTTATTTGCTTGTCAGAAGGCTGCAAAAGGGGATTACCTGATCCTGGGACACTGCAACCGTCATAAATATGAATTAGTTGCCATTGCCAAGCATCTGAATTTTGGTCACATGACATAAGGATGCTGCAATGGTCATAAGTATGAAAAACGGTCACATAGGTCACCTTTTTCAGTGCCATTGTAACATTGAACAGTCACTAAATGAACTGTTGTAAGTCGAGGTTTACCTGTCTTTCATTTTATCTTTCTGGCTACAACAAAGAAAGTGAATAAATTCCTGAACTGATTTTCAAACAACTAGTAATTACAGAATTAGACATCTTAAACTTGTTCCTTTTAAATTATTATAGAATTTTATATTAGAATTTTCGATGTGTGTGTGTGTGTGTGTGTGTGTATATATATTGCAATTATGAAAATAAATATCAACCTAAAACCGCTAATGCCAATGATCAATAATGTTCAAATTCAGAAATACCTATTATACATTTTATTAATTGTAGATTAAACATAATGTTGAAGAAAGTTTACACCAAACAGAGTATGGAAAGTGAGAGCTCTTCTTTCACATATAAGTCCAGCTGTAACAAATTGAAAAAAAGCAGAGTTTTTCCCTTGTCTGGTGTTTTGGAAAGAATCCAAACTTCTGGAAGATATAAATTATTTCCTGTACAGTGGATTCATAACTGTTCTAAAAGAATCAGGAATCTCAGTGTGTTCTCCATCTACTTACTAGTTGATAAATAGAATAATAAATAGAATTCAGACAGAAGCAGAAGCCATGTTGCTGATAATTGGACTACTGAATAGCTGAATGGCTTTTGGCACCAAGTATGGAATGTGTTGGAGAAGAAACTATTTTATTTGAGCCTAGAGCATGCAGGTCAAATAAATAAAGCACAATTCACAGTTCCCAATGAAAATGGAAAAGAACCGAGTCACCATGGAGTGGATAAAAAGTACAAAAACAAAAAAAGCTAAAGCAAAAAGTTACTAGCAAAACAGAAGCAATCTACACTTTGAGACAAAAGTTGAAGTTTACTTCTAAATGAGTCACCATCTGAAATCTCTAAGAATGATGAAACCTTATATTAGAGGAGGTAGTAGATTAGGAAAATATTGTGTAAAGAAATTATGAATGTTAAAGCTGTTATAGAGAGGAGGGAAAAATCTCTATACCTCTTAAAGGAGCAAACAATAAAATAAAAGAAATAAAAGCAGAAACTGAGGTGGACTAAAACTAAAAGACCGAAAACACTGTAAATTCGGCTTATAGGAAAGTTATCTGGGATGTAGGTTAAATGAGGTATAAGAGTAGGATTGATACTTCATGTTACTTGAATTTAAGTGCTACCTGTGAAGGAATAAGTCCTTTGAGCATGAAAACAATAGCTACTGGGCTGTTTGCCAGTGACTGGATCATCCAAAACAAACCCATGAATGACACATACCTTTTGCGGCTTGAAATCAAATTTCACACAGTGCTGGAAACCTTTTCCTTTTGATTTAATTGATGTCACAACCAAACAGCCTCCCACAAAATGGGCAGAGTAACCAAGCCCTTTACTTGTTCTAAAACTGAAACAAATAAATAAAATTATTACACTTATATTTATTTACATGTATTGATGAATGTCAATTTTACAAGCAAATATATTGCAACAATAGTAAATATATCAGGATATATTTATATACATATTTATAATACAATATATAGTGCCAATAAAGTACTAGGACTAGCACTAATGATGTTACCTAGTTAGGGTAACAAAATGTCTGCAAGAAAACAAGCAAGCTCAGAGAGCACCACAAAATATATAGTAAATATATAAATATATAAAATGCATATATACTTACCAATATAAGTAAGGCTTATCTTTGTCTACATTAATATTATTTACAGGATCCATTCTTAACCAAGTATGAAAGGTAAATCCATTCTGGTATGGCCACTTTGCTATAGGAGGTAAGGCAATAGCCTAAAAAAAGCAATGGATTTTCATAAATGAAACTTGTTTTTTTTAAAAAAAAAACTTTAAAATATGTTTTAATAAATATCCTTATTTTCATTTCAATCTTTGCTGTAAGTTAACATCCATTTTTTGTAGGCAAAAGCAATATTTTTCTTTGTGTTTTGCTTTTTTGATGTTTTAATATAAATAAATGTGAAATAATTTCAAATATAAGATCAGAAAGGATAGCAGTGATTTATACCAGTACAGTGATAGAAATATTGAGTGTTAACAATTGAATCATATGAGATACTTCCAGCGAAGTGGATGAATGGATGCTCTGCATTTTGTACAGGACATTGCAGCCAAAATATAAGATCCAGACTGCTTATAATTCTCTCTGCAGTAAAGATAGATCTTGAGATCTATATATAGCCTTTTCTAAGGACTCAAATTTTGACCTAGCCTCACTTTTGTAATCATGCTGGAATTTAATTTAATTTTTATTATCTCTTGAAGACTGAAAACCCTTCAGAAGTGCAAACTTCGTATTTGCTATGTGATTCCCTCTTTAATCTATTTATAAAGAAAGAGAAGTACCGATTTGCAGCTTTGAAAATTTTTTATTTTTATCTAATATGCAGCTAAAAGATGACTATATTTTCCTTTGGAAAGTTTTTAAATGTGAAGAATTTGGATGATTTGATTTAAAGAAGATGTGGAAGTTAACTAAAAATATCCTCTCCTGTGGGAAAGAGCTTCTGTGTTTTTAAGTTGCTGATAAGAAGGCTTTGAAAGTTAACTACCAGATGGCTATGTTAAAGGAAATTTATGATTTGTGGACTCAAGAACTATAAGAGTACTTAACCCTATATTGCAATCAAAAAGTGCTGAAGAGAATCAAGTTTCTTTGAATAAAACAGAAAATGTATTATTGGGGATCTTAAAATTATAGCCTCCAAGAAAGAGATGGAAATATTGGATTTACAAATAGATCTGGAGGACTACTTAAAAAACAACAAATGCATAAATAAGATATAAGAAATGATGTGAGTTATGAAACTGCTTGAGTATTTATTCAAGCAAACCACTTCTCGCTTCAACCCATGATATCAAAATCTGTGACAACTCCTTTTAATTTGTTTTAAGCTGAGTTTATAAATTTAATAGATGTCTCTTTTAAAAAATATGTATCAGATTTGCTTGTAGTCAACTGTTATAAAGCTTATTAAACATTATCTTCATGTATATATATCCCAGTTTCCAAAACTGGCACAGAAAGATTTGAATTACTTTTCTTTAAGCTATGATATTATATTTAAGACTTCAAGAAAAAAAAGACCAAGTACCTTACAAAACAAAGATTTTAAAAAACAAACATGATAGATAAAATTACTTACTGCAGCACTTTTTCCTGGGAAATTGAAGAAGGCATCAGGCCCATATTTCTGGGGCATATATTTTAACACAGACAACAACTTTCCAGCATACAGAGGCTATTCAAAGAACAAATTCTTATTACAATGTTGAATGATGATGACGATGATGATAACAATAAACAATACCAATACCAATAATAATACCAATTATTGAGTTGAAGAAAAAGAACTGAAAGAAAATCATGAAATATCACTGCCTTCCCATTGAAACTATGCAATTATGGATGAAACATGTAATAATGATACCCATTGTCATCGGGGCACTTGGTACCATGTCCAAGAATTTTGTAAAATACATCAAAAAATTGCAATTTCCTATAATAACACCAGCAGAACTATAAAAAACTGCTACTTGGAACATTGTACATTTCAAGAAGATACTTGGTTGATACTTAGGATGCTGGCAGCAACCTTCAGTGCCAGTCAGTAATATTTGTGATACATTTTTAAATGTTCAGTTGATTGAGTTTGATGTTTAATGAAGAGAAGAGATAATAAAATTAGACTTGAATTTCCTGATTTTGCAAAAAAACAACAACAACCCAACATCCTACTTGGAACTGACTATATACTCAGACACTACCTTAATAGCTGTTTGGTCTTTGATTAGGACTTTAACTGTTAGGTTTTTACCAGTCCCAGACTGTGAATCGAATTGAACATTAAATTAATAAATAATAATAATAATAATAATAATAATAATAATAATAATAATAATAATAATAATAATGCAAAATCCAATAAAAATATTCAACTTTCATACCTCTAACAATTTTAGATGTTTCTCCAAGGCTCTTGGGCCAGAAAATCAGGATATAAATAGTTTACATATAATAATGATCATACATCAGAATACTACTATTAAGAATGTAAGACCACATCTACTCTATCAAAACAGTTTATGCTGCTACAGCCCAGGGATATTTTAAATCTGGCAGAGCAGCTAAAAATTAAGATGTCCACAAAGGCAGGCAGGAAGACATGTAGTATGAGATGGAGCAGGCCACCCTCCCAGGAAGAGGACTGATCTTCTAAGAACCATTCCTTGTTTCCAGTGTTTTGCCATTATCTGGGATCCAGCTACCAGGTCCTTGAGGCTCCATCTTCTGGCTACTGCTACTTAATGCCAAATTCACTTGCCATCTGGTTCATATGTTGCATCATATGTGAACCTAGCAACCAGAGGCATTGTTCTACAGATAATTAAGTATGATGCTTTACAAATAAAGTTGGGTGTAAGTCATAAGCAGACATTTCCTTAATATCCCAGTATCAAGCTTATACTGTAGACAGTAAAACCATCCATATTTCTCCATTTGCACTGCAAAGACATTGTCTTGTCTTGTTTAAAATTACCCAGGGGAAAAAAACACCTGCTGATTACTGTGAGGAGTTTTCAAGTTATGTGGAGGATAAAATCACTCGTAACTGTTCAAAGATGAATGCTGGCTGGAAGAGAAATGACTGAGGTAGCATGAATCTGTGCCTTTAATCCCGAGGAGGTAGACAGAGTTCTTTGTAAAGTTAGCAAAACATTGTCTATGTAAGAAAGCCTTTTGCACATCTTCAAGCCCCTAGTTTTGACCTTTCTCGGACAGAGGATCCTGCTCATAGTTATTCATGCTATTGTCACATTTGTTTAAATTAATACAATGTGCTGTACATGGGATTACCCTTGGAGAGCACCCAAAACTTCAATTGGGCTAGAACAGGGGTCTCCAACCTTGGCCACTTTAAGACTTGTGGACTTCAACTTGAAGTCCACAAGTCTTAAAGTGGCCAAGGTTGGAGACCCATGGGCTAGAAAATAGTATCTTATATAGAGATGGGTATTTCTATGTTTTCTTATGTAATACATGTACAAAAAGGAATTGAAGGTATGACCTTTAAAGCCCTGCATGGCTTAAAACCTGTTTATCTATGGGATCTACTCTTTCCAGATCCCTCTTCTTAAGACCGGTCATCTGCACAGGGACAAGCTTCACAGTGTCTGCTGCTCTTCTTCTGAACAGCGTGTTTCCCAAAATTGGGGTGGCTCCTTGAAAAAAAACCATTAAAAGAGCCTTGGAATAGAGCAGGGACAAAGGGGACCTCCCTAATGGGTATTTGTATGCTTTTCTTCAGGGCATTGTTACTTTGATTTTGATTTGACTTGCAATTATTTTTATTTGAATGGTAGATTCTGCTTTGGATCTTGTTGGAGACAACGACATATAAACAAAAATGAAGATCACTACCTGACTCCCAGTTTCCAGCTACTAACCATAAAAATCTATTCAGTGCCGTTACTCATAAAATTAATTCATTGATGTGAAAAGTTAAGGATATCTATTCAAAATAAAAAAAATACATTTTTTTACTAATACAGATTTCTACATACCCATTTTCCTCTGTCTCCTTGAAGTTTGCTGAAGTATAGCTTTAATTCCCGAACTGTCACACTGTAGCTTGCTAATACTCCAAGCATATCTACTAAAAGATCTGTGGAAAATTAAACAGAGGTTACATAGGTTAATATTTTTTTTCAGAGATGGATGAGAAAAGGTTCCATATTAGTTCATTGGAAGTTTCTTCCAATTCTAGGACAATTGAAGAAGCCATACCTGCAATCATACTGTCAGCTCTATCAATCCTCTGAAGCACATGCTCAATGAGACCTACTTCTGTGCAAATCTGCAGATTTCGGATACTTTTTTTCAGGATGGCTGTAAACATGCTCCATATCTCTGCCTGGCAAGTGACATCACACTTATCCAGCAAGTCCAACATGCATGTAATACCTTCTCCTTCTTGTATAATAAAATTCATTTCCAGATCAAAATGACCGCCTACAAGCTGAAATTTATAAAGGAACATCAAGACTTATTTTCAGAATTATCTCTTTAAAATGTATAATTTTCAGGATTAGCATTTTTCCTTGGGACAGATAATAGAAATGTTACACTAGACTGTGCAATTAATGAAGAGGTTGATAATACAATCTTATACATATATATCAGGGTACAAATCCTACAAAGTTGACTAAGGTTCCTAACAAAATTTGCATAGAACCGTTGAACGAATTCCTGTTTTATGTTAACAATACATGAACTAGTGTCAACATATTAAAAGCATATAGCAACTCAGCATTGGAATATGTGCACGTTTTGTTTCTAATCATTCTATTATTAGTGTTCTCAAATGAGAAAGGCAAATTGTTCACCTGTGAGAGTACTCTGAATAGCATCAAGCTGTCACTTATGGGCTTTGCATTTTATAAAAAAGATTATATAATCAGTCAGTACAGTGATTTAAAAAGGTCCAAATGCAACTAGATCAATTTTCCCAGTTGACAAATCAAAATAATATTCTGGGTCACAGCCATACACCTGTGATTCAAAATTTTGCAACCCAGATTAGTAATCATATCAATCCCCACCCCTTCATTTACATGCCCAAAAATATCCCTTCTATCTTCTTACTACACAATTTAAACTTTTGATAAAAATGGAAGTGAAATTCAAACATAATAAGAGCAGCATAGTGTTGGAAAGAATTATGTGACTGAACCAATTATTTGGGAACATTCATTTGCAATTTCTTCTTTATGATCTCTAAACAAATGTTAGCGTGGTTTGTAGGGCAAAGTGCTAAGAAACCAAAAACCTATTTACATTTCAAAAATAAATGTTAGTCCTAGCCTGGATATACATCTGTCTGTGATCAATGACAGTGAAGAGATTGGACTATAGCTGCTGTCAAAATAAGGCTACATATTCTGCAATTTTTGAAAAGAGAGTGAATTTAGGTGGTATCACACATGCACTTTTGAAGACAAGAGCATTGAGTCAACCCTACTTGTCTTCCTTGTATCTTCATACATGAATGTTCTGTTTCCTATTATATGATTTGAACAGACTAAGGATGTGGACTGGCAGAATTTTCACTTAATATCATCTTGTTTTTCTACTAGAAATTGTTAATATTGTTATTCACGATGTTACTGAACAGACTCCTCAGGTTGATGAGCATGAATTTCATATTACAGCACGTAGTTTATGCTGCTACCTGCCAGCTAGTATGGATGACAGGTTTTCTTATTGGGCCTATATTTAATTCTGTGAATGTCACATATTGGGTATATGAGTTAGTGGCAGAGATCTATTACTAAACAGAAACTAATCATAGATGGTTTTCATTTAAAATATAGCAATTCTGCTTTAGGATTTGCTAAACCAGTCTGTTTCCATGCTTTTCCGTGAATTCAAACAGCTTCCATTCATTACTCAAGGTCAGAAGTGTTGGAGAAATATGCAACTTGGAAAACATATTTTTCAGCTTTCTCAAAATAAATCAGTGGTGTCAAACACTTCAACATTGGGAATATATAATGAATATATCTAACATTTTAAAATAGTCAGACAACAGAAATAAAAATTTTAATATTTTATTTTTTAAATTTCTCTCTTAATGAAGGAGTAACAGCATATATAATAATATGCAAATGTATTTCTCAAATATGTGTTTGCGTAATGACAAGCTATATGCAAATCCAAGAAATACATGCACACTTCTTAAAGTCTAGGAGGAGATGTGAGGAGATGTGTTCTTTATGACTGATGACAGTGCAAATTCCTTAGCAGGGAAGTTTATAACTATACATATTGTATAACTATCATTATTTCAGGTTATTTTAATTATAAAACCTAGACAGCTTTCATTACATCTGAAGAGGCCACATTTTCTATTCTCTGATGTCCCCATGGCAACATCCAGATCATAAAACAACTTCATCAGAAATGACGATTAAATAAAATACAGAATAGGTGGCTTGAAAAATTGTCTTCACAACCGGATATTAGCAGCAGTAGCAATTAAGAACTTTGTTCAATAGAAAGACCAGATAAATGCAGTTATAATCAACTTCAAAGAAATTTTATTAAAGGAAAAGTTTGGATTTATGCTTAGGAATACAACTTTCAGCCAATGCTAAGCTCACTGACAAGCATTACTCCCACACCCCAAAAAATCTGGCCCATTATCTTCTTACAGTAGCTTGAGTTAATATATTTGGTTCTAAAGAATCATCAACTGTCATGCCAGCACCTTATAGGCCATACATTTCGCTCTTAAGTAAAGTGAACTCACCTTCACCTCAATTCTCTATGAATCATCTTTCACTTTTAGCTACATGTACATAGACAGTAACCACCCTCCAAGAAGTTGACATATTAGTTTTCCTATCTAATCTGCAAAACACAAATAATTCACTAGCAATTCAAAGTAGTACATTCAGGAAATCAGACTTAAATAATTTTCATTTAAATGTTTTAAATGAAAAATACTTATGAAAGTATTTTTTACAAACGGAAGAGTTATATGCAATTTGTGGAAAATTTGATTTACTATTAATATGGCAACACATTATACATATGTATAAGCGCACACCTTAACAGTATGTCACATTAACCTATTCTAATAGTAATTTGAAGCTGATCAACCTTCAAGACACAAATTTGCTGCCAAAGACAGGGATCGCATAATCCAGGTATGTACACCAGCTAGTTATTATCTGAGCAGCAGTAATGGCTGTGAACAGCAAAATGTAATCTCATGAAATGTCACAGTAAGTTATGAATATCTGAGCAGCCTAATGCACCTACTAGCCATGAAGTGTGAGAATGTAATCTTATTACCTTTTTTATGGTGTTTTTTTTTTTTAATAATATACACTTTGAACTGATGTATAGTCTTTCTCTGCACCTTAACATGATTTGGTCTCTTGTGCCATACAGTTCATTTTTTAGAATTTCCCAATTCAATGTATAAGTCTTAGATTCAACTTCAAAAACAATCTTTATAACAGCCAACTGGCTGACATAATATTTTCTCTTTCTAGACTGTGGAATGATATGTAAGCATACAGCAATGATTTCCAAGCAACTTATTTGAAGCATTCAAATACATCTTCCTAACTTTTACATTTCATTTTAATATTTCCCTGGATATTTGTAAATTTAAATATGTCATAAATATATCAATATCTGGATGGATTTTAAAAGCAATGGCAACTTTTGATATCTATAGATCATTCCTTCCCAATCATAATTTCACATTCCCAGGGATTAAGTTTCACCAAAGAGATTGAAAAATAAATTCTCTTTCTTCAACCTCTTCACCAAACAGAATGACAGCATCCTTCAAATCCAAATTTTAAATTTCTGCAGCAATTATCCCAAAGAATTGCACACAAATCTCTATTAGCAAGACAAAAACACATTACACTTTACCAATTCTCAAAAAAAATTATCTATAGAATTTATTTATTAAAATTATATGCTGCTCATCTCACTGACAAGGCAAGTATAGGCAAAATACATTCAGGAAAAACAATTATTCCCTTAATCTATTTATTACTAAAACTCTCATTGTGTTTATTATCTGTTTGTACCATCAAGTTAGCCCAAATTATACCATAAGAGTTTTTGTTTTTATTTATTTCTTCTCCTATTACCGTCTGTACTTTGTCACATCTTCCTTTTAGTAAAATACAGTGTTTTCCATTCACTGAAACTGACTATTTGCAAAAAAAAAAAAAAAAAATTCTCTTTGTCTTAAAGGAGAATGGAGAAAGGGAATCAAAAACGTCAAGGCCACATAGCTGGTATGACTGTGTCATGATTCATTCATGCAATGCCAAATCTTGTTTTGATGTTATAACTGAACCTATTCACATAAGTTTTAATATCACAACAATAATATGTCAAATGGACTCTAGTACACAAAGTATTTTTTTTTCTAAAATAAATATAATCTTGAATAGAACAGAACAGAATAGCAGAGTTGAAAGGGGACTTAGGAGGTTTTGGTTTTCTAGTCCAACCCCCTGCTTAGGCAGGAAACCCTATACCATATCTCTTCTTAAAAACTTCCAGTGTTGGAGCATTCACAACTTCTGGAGGCAGTTGTTCCACTGATTAATTGTTCCAACTGACAGGAAATTTCTCCTTAGTTCTTGATTGCTTCTCTCCTTGATTAGTTTCCATTCATTCTTGTCCTGCCTTCAGGTGCTTTGGATAATAGTTTGACTCCCTCTTCTTTGTGGCAACCCTTGAGATATTGGAACACTGCTATCATGTCATCCCTAGTCCTTCTTTTCATTAGACTAGACATTTCAGCAATCTTTGTTCATATGTTTTAGCTTCCAGTCTCCTAACCGTCTTTGTTGCTTTTCTCTGCACTCTTTCTAGAGTCTCAACATCTTTTTTACACCGTGGCGACCAAAACTGGATGCAGTATTCCAAGTGTGGCCTTAACACTCGGTATTAACACTTCACATGAAGTTTATCTCATTGTAACAAGTTAATGTGTATTTTATACCACCTACCCAGATAGTAGAAGAGAAATGTAATGGTATGTAAGATTGATTTTGAGGGTTGAGGGGAAGAGATGCTGCCTAGCAAATGATCAAGAGAGCTTAATGTCAGAAGAAAAAACTTAGGAAGGACCTATCCTAATTGATCAGGTGGCTAAAAATGGACACAAGAGATTTATACCTTCAGACCTGCAAGTCTATATTAATGTAGCCTTACAATAAAATGGAATTAATTAGCTAATCTTGTCATGTTAGTCTGCCTGGGAACGCTGCCAGAAAAGCTCTGTTGCATCACCAGAGTTCTGCTCAAATCTGGAAGCAAAACTAGGGAACTGTCATCACAAACTTTATTTCATTAATAATTTAGGTTTATCATTAACCAAACTATTATTATATCATTCAAAATTTAAAAAGAACAGAAAATATTCAAGTTTGACAGAATTTTTCAAGATAGGATTATTTCCAGCAATAAATTTCTAAA